TATTTATTGCACATCAGAATTCCCCAAATATAACAGGAAGTCTTGCTCTCAGAAGGAAGCAACTCAAGAGGCTCTTTAGTAGGCATTTTTTGAAAACCACTCTGTATCCACACAGCCTTAGCTGGATTTCCATGAGGTGTTAATGGTTTGATTAAAAACTTACATGTAAGACCTGAAATCACGAAACTCATAGAAAACGGGAAAAAAAATTCCTTGACATGGGTCTTGGCAATGATTTTTTAGCTATGAAGCCTAAAGCACAGGCAACAAAATAAACAAACAGGCAGGACTACATCAAACCACAAAGCTTCGGCACAGCAAAGGAGACCATCAGTACAATGAAAAGACAACCCTATGGAATGGGGAAAAAATATTTGCAAACCATCTGTCTGATAAGGAGTTAGTGATCACCTAATATACAGGTGATCACTAGCCCCCTCTGAGCCTTAGTTCTTCATATGAAAAATCAAAATTTGAGTCAAGGAGATTTCCAAGGTCCCATTCAGCCTTAACATTTGGCGATTCTACAGCAAAGCCCTTCTCTTAGGAAAAGCAGGCCAATGGGGATGTGCTCTTGGAAATGAATCTTTTATTATTTCCCTGGGGAGAATGGAATTTGAGAAAGTTGGCTTTCACTCCAGATTTCTCACAGAAGGGAAAGAAAGGTCGTACTGGGGTTTGACAGCTGAAGCACGCACACTCTTGCTCTCTGCAGGCTGAATTTCCAACAGATCCGGGTGCAGATGGGTCGGAAATGAATGGAATTGGCAGAGTTGATTGCTATCTTTTTTATTACTGTTCAGTGTTTGATTTCTGCTATGACCCTGGCAGATGACAACAGATCGCTAGGCTTGACCAGAAGTAGATTATTTTTTATCTGATCATTCTTTGTGTGTATTTGGGGTGAATGAAGGTTTTTAATATTGAAAAGTCAAACAGCATGGACCATTTCATCCACTGTCAGCTTAGCCTGTTATTTATAGGCCCATTCCCTTAACTTTCCAATTCTTAAAAAAAAAATAAAATATAAAAAAAATCAGCCATCAGAAGCTCAGCCTGATAATGTCAGAAGATGGAGTTTGGAGATAAATACACATCCTTCTTGGTTCTTGGGTCACTTCTGGGCAGCACTGGGTTTGACATGAATCTCTTTTTCTCTGTCATAGGTGGTTGAGTCTCATGAGAAACACCCACTGCCATGAGCAAGTGTGGTTCAACCATGTCATGCCAAGGGTTTGGCCATAGCAGGGAACTAAGTGCTTGGATGGATTTTTTTCTGCAACTAGAAAGTTCTTAAAAATATGCAGAGCATTATTTTGAGATTTCTATGACTTAGTCAAATGTGTTAAAAATATTTCTGTTTTCTGGGGGATGATTGGGAGCTAAGGACCCAGTGTTTACATTCAGGAAGTAGACTAGAGAACTCATGGGGGAACATGGTGACAAAGAGGAAAAAGAGATCAAGATTTTAAAGGGTCTGGGATTTTACCCAACTTGTACCTCACAAACCAACCAGTTACCCTGGTGCAGTTTTATGGATGCTGGTGGACTCCTGGTTCAGGACAAAGAAGTTTGTTACTTCACACAATAGCAGTAGTCTGAGTGTCATGGTTGTGCCAGTTTCCTGAATCCCATTTCCATAGGGTCATATGGAGAGGGCCAGGTGACCCCCACAATTACAGGGAACTGTGTTACAGGAGAGACATCCTGAGTTGAGGGAGCCTGAATCTTTTATAGTGGGAAACAAGCATGCTTGCCCTTAGCTCTGGAGGGAGACATTATCTACGGGCAAGCAAACTTATGCTTTGTTCTGGAGAGAGACACAATTTCTGTCTTCTTAAGGCTATTCTCTATGTAGATATTCTGGAAAAGATAGTGTCTCCCCTTGCCACAAGTGCAGAAACTCAAGAAATGCATGGAGAATTGTCTTCCAGCAGGAACAAAGACCTGTTTTTGCCTTAATGTCACAATTTCTCCCATCCTCCCCAGATGCCTCAGGTGAGTGCACCCCTGGCTTTGGCTCCTGGTAGTTTCTCTTCTCTAATTTCTAAGGAAATACAGGTAGACAGATTCCTGCCTAAGCTTACGGCACAATTCAAATTCTTCCTGGGGCCAAGGCTAAGAACTGTAAGAGTTCTGTTCACTTTATGGCCAATGCATCTTTTTTTTGTGGTCTTGCAGTGCAGTTGGACACTTCATCTATTGGAAATGTTAGTTCTATACCATCTTTGACATAGATGGGACTGTGGGTTGTTACCTCAGCCAGTCCTTGTTGATTGAGGCAGATTTTACATTTTTAGGATTGGGTATCTGGTTCAAAGCATTCCATGAAGATGTGCTGGAACCATGATGCCAAGTCAGGTCTATGGAAATGGACACTTTTCTGTCATTTTCTTCATAATCAGAGTTTTCTAAACTATTTGAGAAAAGATGAGTGAGAATCCTCAGAATATCCTTCTGAAGCTTCAGAAATTTAAAATTGAATCATTTATTTATTTGAGAGAAAGAGAGAGTGACAGAGGGAGACGCTGGCTCCCTGTTCAGTAGGGCTCAATCCCAGGACCCTGAGATCATGATGTGAGCTGAAGGCACTTACCTGGCTGAGCTAGCTCAGGTGCCCCTAGCTGCAGCAATTTTTGGGAAAGCAATATTGAAAGAGATTGCTGGTTGCCCACTCAGTATCCATTCTCTCCTTTGTAGGATAGGGCTCCTGTATATTAGAATAGGAAATTTGCCCAATTTTTAAAAAACTTCATTTGCTAGGTTTCCTTGAGGTTGGGCCAATGAGGTGGGTAGAAGTAACTTCCAGCATAGTTTTTTTCAAGAACACTCACTTGCTGCTGGGGGACCCTTGCCTCTTCCCTGTCCCTCTGTCCTACCTGGAACATGGCTGAGATGACTAGAGCCACAGTGACCATCTGTGATCATAAGGACACCCCATAAGTGAAAGCATGAGTTAAAGATATTGGAGCAGAAGCATAGGTGGAGCCTGGACCATGTGAACATCGTACCAGCCCTGGAGTCCCTGTCTCTGGATCTTTTCATTGTGAGGGAAACTAACTCCCTTCCCTCCCCCCCTTTTTTTTGCCATTGTGTTTTTGGATAGCAGATGCATGTATGTCCTTGCAGATATTAGGTTGCTTGGTGATACCTAATTGTAATCTGAGTGTTCATTGTATCTAGTTGCGTTTTTTAGTTGCAAGCAACAGAAACATTGGCTAATATTAGCATAAAAGGACTAATTATTTTTTAGGAAGGTTGTGGGACTGCTCCCAAGAGTAAAGTGAGAGCTGAAGAACTGGGCAGGAGCATCTGGGCACCAGATTGCTCTGGAAGACGCGGATGGCAGGCTCTGCTCATTGATATCATTGGAACTCTGGTTCCTTGTGAGACCTTGTGTTCTTCAGCCAAGATTCAGCATCTCAGGGAGGCAAGGATTTGATCAGCTGAGCCAAGGTGACGTATGTCCCGGGTGAAGGTCACATGACCATCCTGTGCCAAGTTGGTGAGAGGAGGAGCAGAGCAGGGACTCATCCAGCTCCCAGTATTGGGTGGGGGGTGGTCACCACCATTGGTTAGGCACCTGGATTTCTTGTCCCACACAACAGAGGCCAGTCCCTCTGGGGCAATCAGAGTGCTGTTGAGAAGTGCAGAGGATTTAGACTTTCTTGCGATGAGGTGAGTTGGTTAAGATAAAAGGCAGATTGTTATGCCATGAAAACTTCAGGGATGAGCAGTTCTGGACAGGTCTGCCCTCATTGGGGACCCAGGCTTACAATGATGGCCCTGCCTCTGAGGAGGGAAAATGCTTTATGTAAAAGCCCAAAAGAGCTCTTATAATCTTCTCCAGTTCATGTAGCCGTAAGTGCCATTTCAAGGTAAAATACTAACACATCTATTCCGTGGGCTGCCTGTTATTTCCTTAATCGGGTTGCAGTTTCTAATTCACACTCATTAACCCACCTGCAGCAACTACAGGTCCGTGCAGGTCTCCCTAAGTGGGGGCAAGTAATCTTGTCCCCCTGTGGTGGGAAATCAGAGCTCTGAAAAAATCAAGTGCTGTTCCCAGGGCCTTGGGGTGTGATGATAGCACGGTGAGGTGAAAGCAAATTACAGTCTGTGGTTAAGGTGGACGTAGGTCATCAGTTAAGTAATGGTTGCCGAGGAGAGCTGGCCTCAGTGTGAAGATGTTCATGGATGTGACGCGTGAGCCTCAGAGATTCTAACCACGTGGAGAATATTAGTGAAATCTGTCCAAGAATGAAGAAACTCAGAAACTTGGACTCTAAGGTCCCCACCAGAATTTGGTTTCTTGTTGCAACTGTGTGTAATATATGTCACCAAAGCAAGCTATCGGAAGGAAAGCAAAAGCTGGTCTCTCCCAGGCTTAAAACTCTCCAGTGGCTTCCCAGAGTCAGTAGAATAAAATCCAACCTCCTCATTCTGGTTATGAAATCTTTAATGATCTGCCCCTGACCTCCCATGTGCTCTTTTCCCCTCTGATTATACCTGCTGCTTCAGTCACTTTCAGTACTGGAAGCAGGTTCTTGCTGCTTCGCATTTGCTACCTGGGAATGTTCTGTCCCAGAACTGTGCATGGCTGATGCTTCCTTGCCATTCAGGCCTCAGCTCAGATGTCACCTGCTCTCTGGGACTCCAGAGGCCTCCTCCCTGACTTCCATTCTTGGCTCTGTCCTGTGCGGGCTGTGTAATATTCAGCAAGCACTTAACTGCTCTACATCTCCTCCTGCTCAGCTGTAAATGGGGATGGTGATGTCCTTATATCATTAAATGGTTGTACAGTTGATAGAAGATAATACAAATGAAGCCCTTAGGACGTGGCCTGGGGGCACAGTCGGTGCTACATTAAATATTGGTGTCACTGTTAGAGGAGCTGCCACTCTGAGTCACTCTGCCACTGAATCTGCTTTGTTTTCTTTGCAGCACTAATCACTGTTTGAAATTACTTTATTTGCCTAATTATTATCTCTTTCTTCCAGGCTATCTACAGGTTGAGTCCCTGGAACAACACAGAGCTCCAGGTTTATTCCTTCCTAGGGGAGGATGGAGCAAGGCCTCGGGAATGGCATTCTCACATTCGCCCCGGGTAGCTAGGAGCTGGACCTCCTCAGTAATTCTGTTGTGTATCCCAGTCACTGACGGGGCCTGTGAAAATGAAAGGTGCCAAAGAGGACCACTGTGTGATTCGGCAATCCCACTCTGGGTGTTTATCCGAAAGAATGGAAAGCAAGGTCTTGAAGAGAGATCTGTGCACCCATATTCATGGCAGCATTATTCACAGCAGTTGAAAGGTAGAAGCAACCCGACTGTCCACTGACGGATGAATGGATAAACAAATTGAGATATAAAGCCATGGGACGCCTAGCTGGCTCAGTGGTTGAGCATCTGCCTTTGGCTCAGGGCGTGATCCTGGGGTCCTGGGATCAAGTCCCACCTCAAGCTCCCTGCAGGGAACCTGCTTCTCCTTCTGCCTGTGTCTCTGCCTCTCTCTGTATGTCTCTCATGAATAAATGAATAAAATCTTAAAAAAAAGAAAAAGCTAAGAAATCAATGCTCACCCAGCTTGGGCTTTGGAATGATTCCATGTATGTGATATAAACTTTCCAAGACGTGATTATCTGGAAGGGATGCGGACAGGACCATAATTGTCATGTTACCTGGAGAAGTACAATGAAATCTGGCTTTGGCTTGGTTAGGAAGAGGAGCCACTGAGCTTGCCTAGTTCCTGGAAAACAGAGTAGGAGCAGTTGTGTTGCAGGCTTTCCGTGTTTGAACATACCCTAGGTCACCTTGGCCTGTGGGGGTTGTATGGTCTCAGTCCTTGTCACCAAACAGAAATCTTTCAATAATCCTAACTTTGAAAACGAGTAGAAAGAAGGTCATGTCAGATCTCCCAGTCCCTGCCAGTTGGTACAGGTGATTCCTGGTGGCCTTCACACATGATCCACACTGGTCCCTGGTTTTCCAAGTTAGAACTAAAATTCATGGGATCTTTGTGGGAATTAGGAAACATCCCCACTTCTAGATTTACACAGGCAAAGTGGGTTTTCCTGCAGGAGACAGAGTCTTGAGTCAGGACAGCTGGCTAGGAAAGTGGAATGCAGGCTGCACTTCTCTTCCTCCACTTCCTGGGCTGGTGCACTTACGGAGGCCAGAAAGGATACCTTCATTCCTGGCAGCCCAGGGCCGTATCCCATGCACCGTACTTCACTGGATGTTAAAAGATTAGATAAGGTGGTAAATTTTATATTACGTGATTTTTACTGCAATCAGAACAGATACATAAATGATGCTTGACCTAGATTTTGAGTAAATAGATTGGAGTGGGTGGGGTATTTGCATTTTAAAGATGTCCCTGGAAGATTCTGACCTCCACACCAAACTTTAGTAACCGCTGGGCCACGCATTCATCCAAGATGCATCTGTGGTGTGGACTTCGAGCGTTTAAAACTTGCAACCATCCCTCCTGCAAAGCTCTGATCATAGGGAGGAAAAATGATCCGCAGATCCCCCTCGTGGGTTCTCTTTAATTTTGTCGAATCAATCTGCGGCCCTTCTGCATCCCCATCCCCTGCTGCCCTCTCCAGAGCAGAGGGGTAATCCGCAGGCCCGGGCGTTCGGGGCCCGTCTTCCCCGTCGTGTCCACCAGGTGGCAGGCCAGGCACTCGCATCTGGGCGGCCTGCTGCGGACTCCGGCCTTCGCGGGGCTTGGGGAGGGGGCCCGCAGGAGGTGCGGGGGTCCCCGCTGATGGCCAGGCTAGAGCTGGAGCCGAGGAGCGTGCGTGCTCAGGGGAAGGTGAGCAAGCCCCTGCCCCTGCCCCCTGCCCCCCCACCCCCAGGCGTGGAGACCCCTAGGGCTCAAGTGCATCTCTCCTGGGGATGCGGGCCTTTGAGTGTGTGTGTGCAGGTGTCTTCAGGAGTAATGTTCGCAAGCTGTTTTGCTTTTTTGCTTTTTTAAAAAAGATTTTTATTTTATTTATTCATGAGAGGGGCAGAGACACAGGCAGAGGGAGAAGCAGGCTCCATGCAGAGAGCCGGATGTGGGGCTCAATCCTGGGTCTCCAGGATCAGGCAGGCCCTGGGCTGAAGGCAGGCGCTCAACCACTGAGCCACCCAGGTGTCCCAGCTGTTTTGCTTTTTTCCGACCCCCCCCCCGAAGGAGAGCAATGTTTTGGTGATATTTTTCTTTCAAATAATTAAAAGGCCTGAGGCAAAAAATAGGAGATGTTCTGTGTTGTTGGAAAACTCCTGAGCGATGGGGGAAGGGTGACTCCAGTCAACACGCACCAGCTGTTGGATATTTAATAGGCATCTTAAAATTATGGGTTTGCTCAGCCGTGGCCTAGCAAGGGGTCACAGTTCACAGCGGTAAGTAACTCCGTGGTTGGCTTGGTGACACGTTGAGCGCGGAGTGGAGGACTCCTGATGTGATCATAACGTGCTGTTGGTTTGTATCTTAAGGCAGGGCTGTGGCTTTCAGCAGGTACAAAATGTTCGTAAGTGAACTGCTGGTAAGTGAGACATGACAGGACAGGAAGTGGTGCCCTTGCAGCCCTGAGAGCACAGGCTTGGGGCTCCCCGGCCGTGGGCAGTGATTGGGGGTTTGGGACAAGTCCCTCACCCAGTCCGAGGCTCGTTTCCTCATCTGTGTGATGTGGGTGAGAACACCCGCATCGGGGGCTGTGCTGGGGAGTCAGTGAAATGTGGGCAGGTGCAAGCCAGGTCCTGAGAATGGGCAGGTGCAGGTGCAAGCCAGGTCCTGAGAATGGCCAGGCAACAAGAACAGCCCCTTAGAGTCCAGGCCGAGGTGCGTATGGCTAGGACTGTCCTCATGTGTGCGGTGGGAGAAGCAACTAACAGGCTGGCGTGGGTGCCCGGCAGGGCCTGTGGGATGTTCAGGGAAGGAGCAGAGAGGTGGGTGTAGCCAGCAGACGTAGCGGGTTTCCCGTGGGGGAGCCGGGTATCGTCCAGCCCAACACACTCGTAGTTTGGAATGTATAGTGTTTCCACTGTATTTTTTCTAAAAATGGAATTCTTTACCATCATTTAAAAGTGGAGTGATTTCACTTCGAATTCCATGTTTCCAGCTTCTCTGAAAAGATCTACATATGGCTACACCGAACCAATTTTACTACATGAAACAGTGGTTTAAAGTAGTGGCTGTCTTTTTTAAAAAAATATTTTATGTATTTGAAAGAGAGAGAGTCAGAGCATGAGCAGGGAGAGGGGGAGGAGCGGAGGGAGGGAGAGAGAAAAGGGAACCCCCCTATGAGCAGGGAGCCAGATGTGGGCCTTGGGGCTCCATCCCAGGACCCTGAGATCATGAGCCGAGCTGAAGGCAGACACTCAACCAGCTGAACCTCCTAGGCGCCCCAGGAAGTAGTGGCTCCCTTGTCTGGCTGGTGTGCACCCCCCCCCCCACTGCACCCTATAGCACACCCAACTCAGCTTGCTTGCTTTCCATCCCTGACCCTGTGGACATCAGAGTGGAGCGTGCAACCTCTACCTTAAAGTGTCTAGAACAGTGGCACATTTGGGGTACTTAAGCCTGCTGCTTCCTTTCCTTCTTGATGGCTGAGCTGGCCTCACAGGCTGTTGTCTCAACAGTGACCCACATCCAGGAAGGACTCAACAAAAAAAGAATGGAGGAAAGAGAACACTTGGAGCCACAGAATGTAAAGTCAGGATTTAGTCCACTGGGGCTTCTGTTTTGGGGGTTCCTGTCACATTCAGAGTGAAGTCCTGGCCATAGCCAGGGGCCCCTGGAATGTCTGGGAGTCTGGCTCAAGTTACGGTTTATCTGCAGGCTCCTGATCGTCTGCCACGCTTGGCTCATTGTGGAGAACAACATGCAAATCCCTCTCCAAAGTACCATTTCCTCACAAATAATAGAGGCCTGTTGTTGGTAGGACTGTCAGCCCGCAGTCCTGTAATAATGGCATTTTCATGAAGGAAAATCACATCCCCACTGTGAGCACAGCTGAGAACATGAAACCTACTATTGAGACATTCTGGTTAAAATGAAGCATTATCCGGTAAGATGTGCCTGTCCGTGGGGGTCTTTGGGAGGCCAGGTGAGAGGACTTTGCGGGTCCTGCTGGAAATGAGTAGGTAAAAAACATCCGTCCATCTGAGGATGATTAATCTCAATCATGGGGCTGTTAGGAAGCCCTGGCCTCCCCTTCCTGGCAGGAGGTGAAAGTGGATAATTCATGTCACAGAAGAAGGAGCAGAGGGAGACCAGTGTGCGGGTGGCCAAGTGGAAGGGGGCGGTTGGAGGGGGGAAGGAGGCTGCATTATCAGAACCAGACATGAAAACTCGGGAATGGCACACTCGGGGCTCCTGCCTTTTAAGGGATTGAGGTTGGGGCCATTTGTAGGCGACAGAGGGTTGATGTGGTTGTGCTCTCGTTCACAGGTTCCCTCCCTGTTTCAGGAGCCAAGAGATGCAGAGACAGCTGTGGGCAGGGAGGGGGCTGAGACTAAGGCACTGAGAGGGGGACTGGTGGTCCTCCATCCTCAGATGCTTAGCTACCTTTTGTCCTCAGTCCTCATTGCATTAAAAAACACTTTCATTTTGCAAAATGTCAAATACACTCAAGAATATAGAGAATAGGGGCACCTGGGTAGCTCAGTCGGTTGAGCATTGGCCTCGATCTCAGCTGAGGTCACCATCTCAGGGTCATGGGATTGAGCCAGCACTCAGCCTGGAGTCTGCTTGTCCCCTGCCTCCCCCACTCCCTGCCCTCCCCACGCAGGTGCTCTCTTTCTCTTCCAAATAAGTAAATAAAAATCTTAAAGATAATATAGAGAATAGTATAACCAACCCTTTGGTTCCTGCATTTGGAATCACTTAGGAATCTTTTGAAAATCCCAATGCTAACATCCTCCCCGACCATTAACTCCCTGTCTCTGGGGTGGAATGAAGATATCCATATTTTTGATGCTCCCTGGCTCATTCCCATGTACTGACAAGTCTGGGAGCCTCTGGTGTCCTTGTCACCTGGCTGCCACAATTATCAACAGGTGGCCAGTCTCCCCGACCCTGTCCTCCTTGTGTCCTGGATCCCCAGTTTCCCATCACCTACAGATTATTTAATTTATTTATTTATTCATTCATGAGAGACACAGGAGAGAGAGAGAGAGAGAGAGAGAGAGAGAGAGAGAGAGAGAGAGAGAGAGGCGGGCAGAGGGAGAAGCAGGCTCCATGCAGGGAGCCTGACGTGGGACTCAATCCGGGGTCTCCAAGATCAGGCCCTGGACTGAAGGTGGCGCTAAACCGCTGAGCCACCCGCGCTGACCCCTACAGATTATTTTAAAGCAAATGCCAGGCTTATGTGATTTCATCCTTACATGCTTCAGTATGCATTAAGAACTTAAAAAAAAAAGCCCATTAGCACAATAACTTTATCACTCCAAAATTTTAGCAGCGATGCCTTAGTATCATCAAATAGTCTATTTTTGCTCAGTTTGGCTTTTGAGACACTGACTTCTCTCCTTTACCTT